CATGCAAGGAGCGAGAGCTCTCGTGTTTACAACAACAATAGATTGCAAACACGCTATAGATTTCGGAAGATAGTGCATTATGCATACGAATGAAGTGCACCGACCCTATTTGTAGTGGAGCTACTTAGCGCTCTTTAACAGAGGAAGTCTTAGACTCAAAGAGGCTCTTAGTTGCAACAAACTCACAGCGACATACAGTTGTTCAAGCGTACAAGCTTAACAATCCCGGTCCCAAAGGAATTGCGATTCACAGAATCACACACTAACTAGTAACTACTAGTTAAACAAGCGTAAGCGCCTTGACAAGGCTGACGCTCTTAACAACACACTACGTCTTTACTAGGCACTAGTGTCCAACGATTCAAAAGGGGAACTGAACTTTATTTACTCTTTAACCACGGTAATAAAACCATAAAACCTCGTCTGGCTGAATTCTACAGAACAGGGTTTTACCCATTCAGCCTAATGGTGCAGTACACCTGCAGGACTGACTTTATTACGATCCTATGACAGAAGTCGTGTCCCTTATCCCTAACCGATAAGGTGCGGTATTACCGAGAGTACATGGTACCAATACTGAACCACTCAGATCCACCGATCTTTCCTGGGTGTGGATACACAACATAACCGGCTCAATAACCGCGCGTAATCCCGTTACACCCTCCCTTAATAAACTGTCTACACTTGTGTCGTCAATTTTTCTACTGCGCTCTGAGGTCCGTCAAATCTCTAGTTATCGACCATCGTGTTCACAACAGTGTGGATGAGCACAATCTTCAGACTGCCAAGTAGTCACTTGCAACATAAGTCACGGGACCTAAGACTGCCTCATTCACAAAATCAGCGGAGAGGGATGCCTTCAGAGTGAGATACCTGGGGTCGAGCGTATGACCGTCCAATATTACCTCGACAGGCTATATCAGCAAGCACGAGCTGCGTCAGTGTCAGCCGTGCGGACAATACCCATCGTTCTCATCCCTATTGAGACAAGGTGGAAAATGATGTCATATTACGCGTTGGGCTCACAGAGCTCGTCATCTCCCAATCGTGTGGAATCTCCAAAAAAGCGCTTCACTTGCTAACGTTCGGCTCGAACGAAAGCTGCGCTTTAATTTTGCAAAACAACACGCCAAAGACCAACTGCGATCGTTCTATTGCACCCGCTATGCTGCGCAGCCACGGAACCGCGCATCAGTGCACCTGATGCAGCTGCAGCCCCCTGTACTCCCGCATCGACTAGAGTGAAGAGATGTGAATCGACTGACCCTGAAGACGACGCTCATAAATTTCAACGGCATACGGACAATCCTACGGCAGTAGCACTTCGTACTCTCATGAGTTCTCCGACTCAGGGTACCCCCACCACTGTACCAAATACTGGTACTGACCGTCGCGACGATGTCGCTGCAGGATTCGATCAACATGTTACTGTTGATCCCCTTGCTCGTCCACGAGAGCAGGTGGTGATCGGTGAATCTCGACGCGTCGTCGACGAGAAAGTGCACGAGGTGCACGGTCTGCGTGACCGAGTGGCGCGTCTTAAAGGACAACTGGGTCTTATACAAAGGGTAACTCGACTTGTGGCATCTCCAACTCATTCGGCGAAAGCGCCTCGTGATACAACAGCGACGGATCAAAATAAGGCTTAAGCAAGCCGACGTAGGACACTGGGTGTGTTCGCATCTTGCGTGGAAGTCTAAGCAGACACGCTATGCCCTTCTTGTCCACAACCGTAAACGGCCCAATGAAGCGAGGACGCAACTTGGTCCCGCAGACCGATTACACCACCTCGACAGGTAGATTCTTAGCGTTAAGAAAGACTAGGTCTACAACCTCGCAACTCTCGATACACTTTCTGGCTTTGGCATCAGCTTGTTCCTTTTGTTTGTCATGGCTATTAGCCACTGCTTCACGTGTATATCGTAATAAAGTTCAATCGCGGAACGAGAAACTCACTCACCTGTTTCTGAAAAGTATTAGGGCTGACATCAGCAAGCCGATTGGCAATTCCTCACTCATCAAGCCCAGAACGTCGTAGTGGTAGCGTTAATGGAACGCGAGGGTGAGTGAGACCTTCTGGTAGATTCAGTAAAGTCGGTAGAGGCATGAACAGCGTTGTTTAACGCAAACTTGACCACAGGGAGCCCATAGTGATCCAACGCCTAGGCTTATCAGCACAAACACTGCGCGAGATGTCACCACTGACACAGTTGACATGCTCAAATTGACCATCGGTCTGCGGATGATCCACTGTGGTCATGTCCAGCCTGGTTCCCAGAACCTTGAAGATGGAAGTCCAAAACTTGCCAGTAAAACGTGGTTCGCGATCATAGATAATTTACACAGGCAAACATTGACGACGAAACGCACGGTCGATAAACAGCTTTGCTGTACCTTCACCATCGATGAAATCAGACACAGCCGCTTAATGAGCCGTCTTGCTCAAATGGTCAGCAAAGACCACAATATTTTGTTGCCATCTGAATCTTTCGGTAGACCAAACACAAAGTCCATAATTATGGACTCCCAACACCCAGTGGTTACAGGAGAACTAGCACGCGGTGCAACCGCATGTCTTGAGGGTTTAACTCGCTGACAATTTTCACATGTACGCGCATATGTACTCACCCATTCGTACAACTTGGGCCACGAATACGTTTGGCTAACTGAGCTATAGGTCTTTTCAAGACCGAGATAATCACTCAGAGCAGTGTCATGTGCCTAAAAGAGGGTGCTATACTTTAAGTTCTCATCATGAGGAACAACGATGCGAGGCACATCCTCAACACCGTGCAATAGCACAACCACCCCCATCGATGACATATCGATGTAGGCTCGCACGTAAAGGTGCCGACAATTTGATGTCCGAGTCTTGAAACACCTCGCTTCCAAGAGCATGTAGCAATGCTACACATTGCTCATCACGTGCATATGCCGCACGAATGAAATCTACTATGGGTGAATACAGATACATAACATGATCAAGCTCATAACCAGGTCTGCGTGACAAAGCATCAGCCAAAGCATTTTGCTTGCCCGGCTTATACTTCACCTCAAAGTTTCATTCAGCAAAGAATATAAGCCAACGAACCATACACTGTAGGTGGTGAGGCGAATGTGTCGCAGTGCGTTACGACGCATGATAGGTGAAACTCACAAAAGGCTTTGAGCCAAGTAGGTGGACTCTTAACTTGACAATGGCATATTTCATTGCGAGTAACTATTTGTCGTGAGCTGGATAGTTCTTCTCTGCAACTTTGAGCTGACGATATTCATACGCAATGACGCGCTCATGTCCATCAAAATATGTCTGTAATAATGCACAACCAATAGCAAAATCAGACGCGTCACAGACTACACTGAAAGGCCACTCAGGGTCAGGAAAAGCTAATAATGTAGCATGAATGAGACCGTCCTTTAAAGCTTCAAAAACATCGAATTTGAGCATGTCCCAACACCAAACTGCATCTTTTCTGAGAAATTTGGTTAGTGGCCTTGCCATCTCAGCGTAATTTGCCTTGTACTCGTGCAAGTAATTGGCTACACCGAACCCTTTTCGCAAAGTCCTTTTGGTTTGACGGAACAGGCCAGTCAACAATTAGCTTTACCTTAGCGGGATTCGCCCGCAGACCGCGCTAACCAATGAAGCACGCTAGGAAGGGGATTTCTTCAGCATAAAAGTTGCATTTTGATGCATTTGCAGACAACTTATCGGTGCGCATGCCCTCGAGCACTGATCGTAAAAGGTCTATGTGACTCCCCACATCCGACCTTCATTGTTTCGCTCGTCTATAGACAAATATTTTATCGAAATTGCTTTGTGCACATCCTCGGTGAGTTCAGAACAACTGCGTCACGAGAAGATTAAACGTTGCAGGGGCGTTAGATATTGCTTGTGGCATAACAAGCCATTCCCAAAGCATGCCACTCGGCGTACTAACCGCTGTAAACGGAATATCTCTCGCTTGCATGAGCAATTCAAAATTCCTATCAACCAAGTTGAGTGCACTGGACATGGTACATCCTACCATAGCTTTCTAAAGAACATCCTTTCTAGGAATAGGCGTCTGTGTCGATATAGTGGCTGCGTTAAGCTTATTGTTAGCATTCACAACACGCCACTTGTCATCGGATTTCTAACGCAAAATGTCGGTGTCGAGTGCGGGTAATTGCTCTAACGCACCATGCCAGCAGCGTGCTTTGCACGAAAGAACTCGTCAATGACGTCACACTGCTCCTTTGGTAGGGACCATTGCCCTGTCACACAGCATATGGTTCCAGGAACCAGGTCAATTTCATTACGTACGCCTCGATCAGTAGGCAGAGTGGAAGGTGGGTAGTGACACATCACATTCTGAAACCCTTCACCAAAGAATTAAATGCGTATTTAGGATCTTCCAAGATCGATGAACCACTTCGAGCACTCAGTGCCGCCTTTGTGTCTTCCAAGACAGCTTCTTCAAAACGTGACGATGAGTTTGGCTCACTATAGGATCTGATGACCACCACTTCAGATAAGTCACCTGACTTCAAGGCCAGTCAAAACTCATCGAAAGACGTTTCGTCTAGATCTAACGGAGAGTTCAGTGAGGGAGAGTCTCATGACTCACTGACCCATCTGCTTCACCAGTCAATCCATTTATGAGTGCATATAGCTGCTCGCTAGTATCACTCAGTGACGTAACAGACGCCTTGCGTTGCACAACAGCGATATGTGTTGGAATGATGACATTCTGGCGATTAGCACCAGCCGTTTCGCTGGGAGATAGGTGCAGAACGTGTACGAACTATATGAATGGAGGATAACGATAGCTAGCAAGGAAGGAGAGAGCGAGCAAGTAAAAGGCGATAGAAATAATCTTTTCAACCTGCTACTGAGTCAACGAACGTTTGCTACAGGTTATGAGCCCAATGGCAGAAGCCACAGACACAACTACAAAGACGCCAGATGGCGTCGCGCGACCCGCGCCTGGACGCGGATCGCCAACGCGATTCCACCGATGGGTCAAGCTCTAGCAGTTGTCGATGTCTCGCCCGCTCACGAAAGGAGCGAGGCTACTGAAGATAAGATCCTCGCCACCCCCGTTGGCTTGACGGAGCGCCTGGCAAAGCTTGAGTCGTCGCAGCGCGTCTGCGACGAAGATGAACGGATGCTCGGCGCTGTTGAAAGTGGCATGTTTGCTTCCGCCCTTGACGCAAACATTTGCGGTCGACCGATGACCATCGATGCGCTTGGGTCTCCGGAGCAGAAGCCAGCTTACCCGGCGCGAGCGCCAGCGCCGAACGATAGCGTGCCGATGTTTTCGTCCTTGGCACCACCGCGCGGACAAGCGCCGCCCCAGCAACGAGTACCCGCGCAAGCAGCAGCAACAGCAGTAGGAGCCCATCAGCAAGCAAGAGGGGTGGACTACATCTCGAAACCGACTTCTAGCCAGTGAAAGTTGTCGATCCGAAAGTTCGACGGGACCGAGCTCTATCGAGGGCTGGGTAGTGTTTTTTTCGACTGGGACGTACGTTCTTGCCCACGATAAAGCTCTCTGAGTCGTCATGTGGATTCTCTGGCCGGAAGAGGTGAAGGTTGACCTGCTCGGCCATTTCTTGTCGGGGACAGCGAAATGCTACTACCACAAGCAAGCGGACACGTGGTGGACGCAGCAACCGACGCTCGGCTACGTCATGTGTCAGCTGTTGGCGACGTCTTAGACGACGACTACGGCTAGCCAAGCGATGAAGCTCTTTATGAAGAAGAAAGAGGCAAAGCGAACGTGGTTGGAGCGTTTCCTCTACATGGTCGCCGTGAGCGACGCGCGCGGTGGAGCGGACTCGCTCGTCCTGGACAACATCGTCCATCACGCGTCGCCCAAGCTCATGGACGTGATGAGGGCCAAGTACGACCCCACTCGATCCGACTAGCTGCGGCACGCGGAGGAGCTGGCGCAGCTTTCGCAGTCGATCGAGCACGGGAGTGGCGCGGTGGGACGCGAAGTCGTCGCAGCGCACGTTGACGCGTGACCGAAGAAGCGAGCTTGCTTTGGTTGCGGAAAGGTCGGGAAAGTGCATCGAAACTGCCGCGCTAAGGACGCTGAGGTGGACGAGGAGCAGAGTGAAAGCAGTTCGACGGGCGGGATGCTGCTCACGCTGACCGAGGTTTCATAATAACGGCGCAGGAAGCAGCAGATCGCAACCCGCGCCGACTAAGAAGTATGACTACGGCGGAGGGAGCAGCGGATCGCAATCCACGTTGATCAAAAGCCCGCGCGCTCGAGGAAGTGGCGCCGCGGCAAGAAGACGAGCGGTTTCATGTTCGCGATCGGCGACGCCGACAAGAGCGATCGAAGAGGCTATATCTTTGACAGCGGTGCTAGCCGCCACCTTGTGAGTGACGCGCAACAGCTGGTCTAGTCGAGAGTGTGCAACGACGAGATTGCCATGACGGATGGCGTGTCTCTCCAGCCGACAAGATTCGGCAGCCTGCAACTGAACGTCATCGCGAACGGCGCAGCGGCGACCGTGACGCTCATCGACGTCTATCTGGCGCCGAGCCTGGCAAAGAATATCGTATCCTACGGTAAAATCTAGCGTAAAGGGTTCGCGCTCGTGTATGATAGAGACAAGCGCTCGCTCGCCCGGCGCAGTGACGGCACTGTCACTTTTGACATGGCAATGGAAAGCAATGTGTTGTACGTGCAGAACACGGCAACAAAGCGACAGGGGGGAGCTAGCGGCGCTATAATGGCGGTAGTCGAGTCAGGCGCAGCCAGATTGTCGCAGCCGAAGTCCAAGAGGGCACACTGCATCATTTCCACAAACAGTTAGCACACTTGGCGTTTGACACCATCAAGCGGATGACGCGCAACCCAGCGTCCGGCATACGTCTCACGAGCCACCGGCGTATGGCGTGCGTGTCTTGCAGGGAGGGCAAGCAGACGCGCAACGCGCAGCCGAAGCAAGACAGCGGCGAGAAAGAACCGATAGACCGTATCGGCGGCGAGATCTGTTCGGACATGAAGGGCCTTATGACGCCACAATACCGCCTCGAGAATCGATATTTGATCAGCTTCGTTGATCACAAGAGCAACTACTGCGGGATTTTTCTCGCGCGGACTAAGGATGCCGCAGCGAAGCAATTCGAGGCGTTCCTGACGCACTTCGAGAATCGATTCGACTGTGGATCCACGTGCTTCGCACCAACGGCGGCGGCGAGTACGCCAACGTGGACCTTTTCTACAAGTGCACTGAAGTGGCGCGCCGATCTCGGAGGAGAGGAACCAAACGTCGAACGGGAATGTGGAGCGTATGCACCGCACGGTTTTCAACCTCGCGCAAAGCATCATGTTAGCCTGCGCGCTGCCACTTAACTTCTGGGGCGATGCTGTGTTGTAAGCGGTGTACGTGCTAAAAAGGAGCGCAACGCGCTCAAACCAGAAGCGTGTGTCGCCGCTCGAAATGCAGACGGGTACTGCGCCTGACTTGCGTCAGATCGTCGTCTACGGGTCGCAATGCTACGTCTACCGCGACACGCGCAAGAACTCGCTAGCGCAGCGATCGCAGATCGGGACGATTATCGGGATCAGCGACGAGACCAAGGTGTAAACAGTCTGGTCGAGGAAAGCATGCAAGGCAGTCTTCACCCAGCACGTCAAAGGAATCGACACGCTGACTGAGACTCAGAACGCGCAGCTGCAACGAGCATTGGGTGACGAAGCCCGAGCCGACCTTGCGGAGGAGATAACATCAGAGATAGATGCGCCAGCGGTGCCGAGTTACGGAATGGCCAAGGCGAAGAAGCCGTGGGCTCGACAGGCATACGGCACGCGCGGCGCGACAAATTGCGCGCAAGCAGCAGTCAGTCAGGAGGAGCCAAAAGCTGGTGAGGACGTCGTGAGTACGGCGTTTGATTGTGACCCGCAGAAATACGCCGAGGCCATGCAAAGCACCAAGCGAGACGGCTAGGTGAAAGCGATGGAAGAAGAGGTTGCAGCTCTGCAGGACAACGACGTCTGGACAATCACGCGACGAGCGCCCGGTTGTAATGCTCTGCATACTAAATGGGTGTAAAAACGAAGACAACTGCCGATGGTGAGCTGGAGCGGCTCAAGGCGCGACTCGTGGCCTGTGGAAATGAGAAAGTGCTCGAGTCGACCACGGGCTCACGTTCGCAGCAGTGATGAATCTCTCGATCTTCATGGTCATCATCGCGCTTGCTCTCACGTGGGGGGTGCCTGCCAAGCATGGTGACATCCCCAACGCGTACGTCAAGGCGTACAATGAGGCGCACTTGCTGATCCACCTTCATCTGCCGCTCGGCATGAGTGTGTATAGTGCGACGCTACGAAAATACGGCGCGGCAAGCTCGAAAGAGCTCGTACTTGAGCTCCGGAAGAGCCTGTACAGGCTCAAGCAAGCCGGACGGCTATGAAGCCAGCTGCTCCACACCAAGCTATCGGCCGCGGGTTTTCGGCACTGCGAGAGCGACATGTGCCTTTATTGGAAGCGCGACGGGACGGATCTCGTTGTCGTCGGAGTGTGCATCGATGACCTCCTCACAACCAGGCTGAGTGACACTGCGGTCGATCGCTTCTTCGGCAGCTTTACATCGCTGTCGAAAGGACTTGGGCCGAGTCAGCAACTTCCTTGTGATGTCCGTGGAACTAAGCGACGACGGAGGGCATCGCCTGAACCAGGAGAAGGCGATTGGTGACCTAATGCGGAGCAACGGGCTTACAGACGACTATTCGTCGCTAACGCCGATCGGAAAACATGTCAAAGATGAACGGCCAAGCGACGCGGAGCTCCTCGGATCAGTGAATGCGCCTCCGGGACCGACGGTGCACGAATTACAATCGTTGGTCAATCTGCTCCTTTGGGTCGCTCGATGTACGCGCCCGGACAATGCCTTCGCGGTCCATATGGCGACGCGGCAGACTCACGCTCCGCGCGTGCTTAACTGGAGTTTGGAAAAGCGCATCGCGCGCTATCTCAAGAAGTCTGCGACGCTGAAAACCACGATAAAAGCCTTCCCGAGATGACAACGCAGCGCTGCGGCTTGATGCGTTCAGTGACGCCGACTTTGCGGGCGACAGAGCAGACAGAAAGTTGACGACAGGCGGGCTGCTCCTACTGAATGGAATGCTGGTAAGCTGGGGCGCGCGCAAGCAGGGTGGCTTGTCGCTGTCGACGATGGAGGATAGTTTGTGGCCGCCACTGAGCTCGCGCCGGAAATGCTAGGGGTGCGAGAGATGCTAATGGAGACCGGGCTTGCGCCAGCGCTGTCCATGCAGCTGCACGTAGAAAACCAAGCGGTTATGATCCAGATCGCTGGCGAAGCGTCGTTGTTGAAGGCAAAGCACGTGGACGTTCGCCACAAGTTTTTGTGAGATTTTGCTTGATGTGGAATTATTGGAGCGCGCTGCGTCAGGTCCAAGAAGGTGCTCGCGGACCTGCTGACGTAGGCACTGGATGGGAATAAGCTTAGAACGTTTCGCGAGCTTATGAATATTGGGTAGAAGATGGATGACGCTGCAGGACGATGGAGAGAGGTGAGAAGACGGAGGTGCACTCGAGGAGGAGTGTTGGAATGATGACATTCTGGCGATTAGCGCCAGCCGTTTTGCTGGAAGATAGGTGCAGATTGTGTACGGACTAGATGACTGGAGGAGAAGGATAGATAGCAAGGCAGGAGAGAGAAACCAAGTGAAAGCAATAGACAGAATCTTATTAAACACCTGCTGCGTCAACGAACGTTTTGCTACAATTTGGCGTCGCCGTCGTCTCTGTGACGAGACTGAATGTTTCAAAGAGACTGGAAATTTTTCCTTCCTAAGGTTGATTGCATCATCATCCTTTACTTGCTCTGTATAAGAGCCGGTGTCATTACCGACACACGGAAAATCAATGTCCCCAAGATTGACATGACCGTCAACCTGAAGTTGCTCATTACCAGAGCCGATATCATTACCAACACCCGAGACTATACAGCCGCCAAGGTGAAGAACTGCGTCAATCTTAGTTTGCCCAATATCAGAGCCGATGTCATTACCGACATCTGGGACTACGCTGTCTCCGTGGTGAAGAACTACGTCAACCTTGATTTGATCTATGTTAGATCCGATATCGTTACCGACATCTGTTGTTGAGTCACTTTCAGTGATATCACCACCCAGTGGGTACTTACGTGCCACTTAACGCTCATCAACTGGGCCTCGCCCTGATGATTTGGTATTTCACCAATAATATCCTGACTGACATTCAGTGTGTCGCAATCACGGCCAACATCACTCAGTGGGTACTTCCGCCACTCCACGCTCACCAGATATGTTCAACCCATGATAACTTGGCTCTAGACCAACAATGCTTTCAGCATATAGTGATTCGTAATCACAACGATTACCACTCGACGGAGTACGTGCCGTTTCACTGAAAGTCATCGAGCTTGGCTCGTAAATAACATTTTTGACATCGTCCAACTCAATGAGCTCAGTCATACCGATGTCTAACACACTGACCGTCTCAGTCCGTGACTCGCGCCAAAAGCGCTTCTGTTTCCTGGCGAGGTGGGCTCGTGACTCTCCAAAGCTCCACTAGGAACAGTGCGCGTTGCGCCTAAGGTCTTTGACATCCAATCGATTCATGGCTCATGCCGTTCTAGCCAATCCGAACTAAGGATGAGATTATACCTCTCATTCAAGTCAAAGACTAGGCATCGTTCGATACCGTCAAAGTCCAAAACTTCATGCCTAAGCTCACAGGAACTTTGGGCACAGTGAGTGATTCACCTGTCGCCAAGCAAACAGTGATAGTCTTATTCTTGAGCGCTTTCAGCGCCTCAGCATACTGCTGACTACCGTCCAGGGAACAACGCCGGACATAATTTTCCGACACCCCGGGGTCGATCGATTGCGAACATGGCTTATCAAAGACCTTCACCGTTTCTTTTGCAATTAACACGCCTGGCTTGAACTCATGCTTCGTGATATTTCTCACAAAGCCACTTGGGGCTCGGCCCTGTTCTCCTTCACCTCCCAGAGGTACAACAGAGCGTAAATCCTTCCCGGTAGGGCGCCCCGCACCTACTGGAACTCGACGTTTTACCGCGCTTAACCGACTCGTTGGTTAGGGACGGGAGGTCGGCTCAAACGAGCCTATCTGGTCCTTTCAAAATAAAGGAAATGCATAAACGTTTGATGCTTCCGCGCATAAAACATCTAGGATGTTCGAACGCTGTTCGGCAGCATAAAGCTCGGCTCTTTTGTCTCTCTCTCAGCGAGACTAAGACCTATGGGTTCTTGTCAATCCAAAATATGAGCATTGCTCGACGAGTTCGATTGGAATCCATGAGTCCCATTACGGGCAGCTTTAAAGTTGAACTCTGCGTTCAACGCAATGTCCACTGCACCCTCAAATGTCGAGGGTTGTGCACGAAAAACTTCAGTTTTGGCAACGCCAGTGCGAAGACCCTCCATGAAAATGGTGACCAAACCCGTCTCAGGTATAGGGTCAAGCTGTACAGCAGCAATTAAAGGTTCGCAACTCTAGGATATAATCGACTAAGTCCTTTTTACCCTGGTGGGTTGACAGGAAGCGTGATCGCACGCGATAGACGGATCAAACACCCGAGATAGCTGCTGTTTTTGCATGTCCCAGGTGGAAAAAGCCTCGTCTATCGAGGTGTTAGAAGTGAACGCCCACTCTCTGGCTCGCCCACCTAACTTCGATAGGGCCAAGCCCACCATTTGCTGCTCTGACCGCAGTAGGGCCGAGCTGATGGAAAGCTCCATCTCTCGAACCCACAATATGATTTCTTCTCTTCACTCTCAAAAGTCTTGACACGTATTGACCAGAGGGTGAGTCCTTGACTCAGTGTCCGGTGTTGGAACATACTGAGTGGGCATGGCAGATGCCAAATGGTTGTGGACCTGTCCGATCAACGTGGAATCAAAGTTCGCGAAGGCCTCGAGACGTGCACAAATGCGTCCGGGCCTTGTGCCATTATAAGAGCCACTTGCTCGTGCCCGATCAATGCCGTGAGCTTCTCAAGCGTGATCTGCTGGACCTCAGAAAGGTTTATGGCCGTTTTCATCCTCGCAAAGGATTCTGTCTGTGAAGATTCAGGTGTGTGTTGGCTACAAGTGCTACCACGTGTAGAAGAAATACTTAGCGCTCCTTAACAGGGGAAGTCTTAGACTCAAAGAGTCTCTTAGTTGCAACAAATTAACAACGACATACAGTCGTTTTAGCGCACAAGTTTAACAATCCCGGTTCCAAAGGAATTGCGATTCACTGAATCACACACTAACTAGTCACTACTAGTTAAACAAGCGTAAGCGTCTTGACAAGGCTGACGCTCTTAACAACACACTACGTCTTTACTAGGCACTAGTGTCCAACGATTCAAAAGGGGAACTGAACTTTATTTACTCTTCAACCACGGTAATAAAACCATAAAACCTCGTCTGACTTCTACAAAATAGTATTTTACCCATCAAGTCTAATGGTGTAGTACACCTGCAGGACTGACTTTATTACGATCCTATGACAGAAGTCGTATCCCTTATCCCTGACCGATAAGGTGTGGTATTACCGTTAGTGCATGGTACCAGTACTGTACCACTCAGATCCACCGATCTTTCCTGGGTGTGGACACACAACATAACCAGTTCAATAACCGCCGTGCAACCCCGTTACTACATGGAAATCAGTTCTTTCGATTGTGTGGAGTTGCGGTGGAGAATGACTTCAGTATTGGTAGGACAAACTAGCTTAGTGCCGGGGGACCCGATACCATCATATTCACATCCATGAGATCCCACCCAGCCTCCTTGTCTTCCTCTATGCCCTCCAAAGCTTTTAGCTCATCGCAATCCAAGTAATTGGACCGATTGGGCACATTATGTGAGCGGACTCCAGCCCCGTACAAACGAAGAGTCGACCTTGTCTATGTGATTGCAGCAATGCGGCTGCAGATCTCGGTGTGGGAATAGCGTTGGTCTTGAACGGGCACAAAACTCACGCATCGACAGCAACGAACTGCAATCAGTCGTCTACTTCTTCCACCTACAGCATTAGTGATGCATACACTTGCACTAGCCTTACTAAATGTGTGCTGAAAGCGAGAAGGGCATCAAGCTCTTGCACGTTACAGGTGTACAACTTGAACCGCTACGAACCGTGTCTCACGCACCAAAGTCGAACAAGCTCACGCAACGACGATCACTATCCGACACGGTAGTCGTCCACGTTTGTGCCCAAACGCTATGCTCCGTCCGCGTCCCTGGATCTTGGTGCACCATCCTAAACAGCTATAGAAGCGTCTGCTCCATAACCGGCATTCACGCCGCACCCTTCCCACTCCGTGTGAGTCAAATGGAGGCGTTTCAGCCGTTTACTCGGCGGATGCATCGCACGGAGCTCTAAATTCGATCCGATGTCTCACCGAAAACCCAACGTCACCGCTTGCCTCCCATACGCACATTTGCATACCCGTCACCTGTAGCATCTCAATCGCCGCACGATGACACCGCCACTCATCGACGCTCATTGTCACCTACACGACAATCGACTGTGGTCTCCAAACTCTCCACCGAGCCACGAACGACTCGAAGGTGTGCTCGCGAGGGCTCGAACAGCTCATCTGACCCACGTCGTGTGTTGTGCTACGCACGAGCAAGATTGGCGTACCCTCGAACAACTCATAGAGCAACAGAAGACGAAGAGCCATAGCTCCATGGTGATTGTACCAGCTTTGGGGGTGCATCCCCGGTGGGCACCTGAGCTGGCATTCAGTATTCAAGACGGATTGGCGTCACTGCGCGACAAGTTGGCAATGTACCCGAGAGCAAGCGTACGTGCGACTGGCGAACCTTGACTACTCGTCACAAACTCCATGTTTAATGTCGTCGGCGGGTTGACGATCATGTCGAAATGCACGTGTAATGCAGGTGGGCGAAATCGGACTGTGCAAAAGCACTCGAGGACGAACGGTGCCACTGGATGTGCAAGTTGCAGCGTTCCGAGCCCAGTTACAGCTAGCGGCGGAGTTGGAGAGAACCTGCGTGCTGCATTGCGTGGGCTATCACGGCAAGTTGCTGGAGATTCTGCTCGGAGTTGCACATAACTTGCCTCCAGTACTCGTGCTGCACTCCTACAGCGGATCGCCGGACATGATGCGGTCCTTCCTCGCTCTACGTGGTTCCCGAGTCTTTATCTCGCTGAACGCCAAGCAGCTGACAGATCCGCGGATGAAAAAGGCTGCAGCTTGCTGCAAGGCATTACCAATTGAAGCACTGCTGCTCGAAACTGACGCCCCCGATCAGGCACCTTCTGTCGAGCTTGTGGAACAGGCGTTTGATCAGGTTGATGAAGCACCGCTAATGCTGCGAGAGGGCTCGACAGGTGTAAATGAACCTGCTCTCGTCAAACTTGCGCTGTTAGGAGCGGCAGAGATCCGAGGTGAAGCGCCTGACAAACTAGCGGCTGCGGTGTACCAAAATTGCAAGGACGCATTTGGCCTCGACAATGTGGCACAAGAGTGAAACACGACGATGGATCAGTCAAACTGGTAGTCAAGATTTCTCTGCAGTGACCATTGTCTCCACAATTCGGTTGCCAGTTGCCCGATCCGCACCTTCGAACTCCCACACGATCAGGTTGGAGTGCCCCCCCCCCGTCAAGTGAATCGCTGCATACATCTCCAGGAGAATTGTAGTCTGAACGCCATAAACGTTACTCCACAATTGCCCGCTTGTTAGTCAGCAGGCACCGTGCGGCAGTGACGTGGCCACTTTCTTGCTCTGTCAATATCGTTCTGTGGCTCGTGCGTTGTGAGCGTGCAGCTCAGGGTCTTGTGCAGAGCCAACTTCTTTACCGATCGATGACAACGAATGTTGATTAGATTGGAGCGGTTGCATCGGGTCACGGCATCAGACACTTTCTCGGCTCCATTACGACCATGTTGCTTCCACGACTTGCTTGAAATTCTCGTGTAGTAGTTGGGTCCAAAGCTGGCCGATTCTGACGTGGATCATTGACGAAGCGTAAAACTTCTGCATGTACTTGAATTGCTTGCGATCGAATGCTCAGGTTTGTACGGGCTCCAATGGTCGATGCCCTGGCCCTCACTAGGTCGATGTAATCGTGATGTGGTCCCGTCTGAGGAGGTCTTCTCACGCGAGGTCAAAGCAATCGGACCAGAACGAGATACCTTCTGTCATCTGCTTCTTTGTTTTCATGACTGCACGTCGATCCACAAGCACCATCACCAGAACGGTTCATAGTAAAGGTCTCCACTGTTATTATGCACGCCATTCTCGCGATGGACTCAGGAACCATTTATGCTCACACGTGCCCATCTCGGTCCCATGCCATTGATGTGCTTTATGAGCGTTTGACTTAGGTGTTCTAGCGGCACCCGTTGTATCTCTCGGGTAGCATTGGTGGACTAGCAACGTCCTTGGCGAGCGTTCTGCTGACACCAAAAAAGAAGCAATTGCTGGGAATAATAATGACACCGTTTGCGCCTTCATAAGCATTGCGTGCTTTGTGGCGACAAGCTCTTGTCGGGCCGTTGGCGTCTCTGGCAAATGCATGGCCATGTTTGCACGGTACCGTACGTTAAAACCTCGCGCACGTACTTCCCCAGTCTATTCACAAGACCAAAAAAGACCACCATATTGTCAGCACATAAATGCTACTGGAGAATTGGTACGACAAAATGCATGTACACTTCAAGCGCAGCTTTATCCTGGCGGTCCCATTGCCAGCATACCATGTCAAGCAATAAATGATTGCCGCGAGCGTGGTACGGTAGGCACAGCTTTCGCAGTTCTTCGTGCTCGTCCTTTGACCTTGACTGCAGGCGACGGCGATCGATCTATCCATTCGCTTAGCACCCGCCCTGGTCTTGCCGAAGTCGTCTCTTGCGCGATAGGGGACGAGTTGATAGTTGCCGATATACGAGTGGTACTCAGTATCGAGCTGTGCTATCAGAACCTGCCATTTCCCATCCGATGATATGTATCGGCTACGTCGCCAATCCGGACTTCGCGCTGCCTGCAAGCTGAAGATTTAAGTTTGAGGGGAGTGCTTGTGGTGGTGACCTGCAGAAGTAACAATCGCATCAGCATTATCACGTATGACCCACTAGAAGATCACCTAGCGTACCTGAAGTCCATCGCATGGCACACTGGGTCGTGACATTTTTGATAAAACACACGCCGATTGATGTCCACGATGTACATAACGTTGTTGCTTCTGTGTGGTCGTCCAATATTCGCACACCAACGATTCCGTGTCATGTGATAAATGACCATCTGCACGTTCGGCCAACTCGATGCGGGTCGCTCTTGCTCGGACTTGTCCCGAAGCAGAGTAGTCGGTAAATTCGAGCTACTGGGATACAGCATTTGAACTGCACGAATCTCACCCTGAATCCCGCTCGTGGTCGCGCGAGAGCGAATGAAGGCATCTAGCGCAGGGTAGGTAGAACTTTGGCGTTCAACTGATGATGTGGCGATACTTCTTGCTCCCGAGGCAGCAAGAAATCGCCTGGAAGTGGAAACTGCATGAGAGGACTTACAGCGGAGAAGACGGAAAGGCTTCGTCTGTCGTTTGAGTTCCACTGCTGCAAGACTTGGATATGGACACACCAAAGTACTGAGAAATAACCCTTGGTCAAGCTCGGTGGATGAGAGGGATGCATCAAGCGGGCACAAAATCGCCCGCTTCTTATACTTCGACGAGCCCAGCACGCGAAACATGCGGTTCCGAGTGTACACACCGGTGTCGATGAAAAGCTGTTTTTTGTCAACAGCGTCGTCCTCAGACACGGTGTTAACGAGAAATGGGGTCAACAGCTGCGCGCAAAGCGCCTCTTCGGAGCAGCAGGTACTAACGACCACGAGATCATCGATCAACTCACGCACAAACTGGAAAACGAGAACACACGAGAGCAAATATCAGTGACCCACAGCACATCGTCAGCATTATTGACAGCCACCTTACGACTCCAGCGTGATGATTGTCCACGAAGAGGTCGTCATTCGGGAGGTGAAGCTACGCAGCAAAACGTGAACCGGTCGTAAGCTAACAGTTTCGCGAGTGGAAATCTCACGGACTACCTACGATGATGTGACGACTAAATTTGGCAGGTGTTGACGAGTCGAGTTGACATATATTTCGTTGACGAACATGGATGCCATACCTGCGCTGCAAGACATTGTTAGTGTGCCTCTCACTAGCGATATACTATAGCAACTTACATAAAATTGAAGTTGAAGCAACGATAACAGCCTAGTCACAAGCGCGTCGCCATCTGCTCGAGGATTGATCGCACACTTAAACTCTAAATCGAAGTAAAGACGGCAAGGTACACCCTCACGGATGACCTCGTAAACGTGGCGTTGGTTTGCACGGGTTTCCTTGTAGTTTTTCCAGAACTCAGCAAAACTGGCAACGAGAAAACGTCGCTTGCCATCTTTCGCACTCTCAAACGAGAATACGCGGGGCGAATGGTTACAAAGATCGTTATCAGTATTCCGCAACGCACCAGAAGCACTTTGAATGCGACGTCGTAGAGCCACGACTTGATCTGCAAGATCGAATGCTTCCTGCTGGCGAGGGAACGACGATAAAATTGGCGCAGTGCCTTCAAGCTGGCACATCATTGAATGCGAGACCCTGAATTGCAGCTTTTGGTAGAATGATCGCCAACTGCTATTCGATACAACAGTATCTGAAACGTCTGCAGTTGTCGGCTTTGCAACAGTTGACCCGTAAAATCCTTCAGCGGACAGCGTTTTCCTTTGCTTCACCATCCCATTCGAGTTCGGTCCAGCCGCCCGACGACAGACCCTTTTTCGTTTCTCCAAGCATTCAAGTGCCAAAGTTGACAGCTTCACTCTAGGGAAAGCTGAATGCAAAGCAGCCAAGAGCTCCTCTGCCACCTCGGGGTCGTAGCACGGCCCAAAGTCTTGAGAACTCTTAAACTGCGTTTCCCCAGCAGACGTTGATGTCAGCCAACCAACTTGGCGAACTTTTCCAACAAAGTATATCTGCTGCTTCTGTTTTTGCTCCTGCTGCTCCTTAACACACACGTCCAGAACCACGAGAACAGTTGACGTAAACGGAGATGGACTGTACAGAAAGAAGCTCGTTGTGTCAATAAAACGGATACAATTCAAGCTCACGAGGCATCAAACAGTAGCAACTAGTACACACTGAGCACAAACGAACCTATGAATGGAGAAGAGCGAAAACGTGTCGGACGGTAGCAGTATGGTGTACATTGGTTGCAAATGGGTACAAACCGCCCGAGTTTGAACTAGATAGAGACCTTCTGGTACGGGGCTCTTGTCAGCTACAGACGCGACTTTTGGCTCTTTTTTCAGCCAGATCTGAACACTGAAAGGAATGACTTCCATCTCATGCTCAGGCACGGTCCCAAGAGCGTGCAAGGGCGTGCCTACGGACCCAGTCCAGACACGACACGCTTCGCTCTCGAACACTTGAAGCATTGATTGTTGCTGGTGGAGGATTTCATTGGACGAAATGCAGATTCGGCAGAAAGTAGGACAGCAATGGCTACATTCGGCAACCCTTGCCGGTCAAATGGAATGATAATATGGGCTCGAGTGTCTGGAAATCGTCTTGGGTCCTGGCTGTGGAAACACCGAGAGAAGCTCTTCGAACTGTTGGAACAAATTGTGGCTGTACGTAGTGAAGAGTTTAGAGTAGCTTGTATGAACACGGCACCCGACGGTATTGATAGGGTGCATACTAGGGCTGAACATCAGCGCTTGTTGATGCTTTTCAGCTCTTGTTGATGCTCTTCCTACGGCTTTAAGCAGATGAATGGCAATGTCTATGGATACATCCAGATGCACTGAGGAAGGGAACAAATTGTGGCTGTTTAGAAGTTATGCTTGAATGGACTGACCACGGTTCTGGACCAATACGATCAAAGGGATGGACGACTCGGATACGGATTGCGGCTCTTCCGTAGTGCTTTGGCACACACAGTGCTTGCTCATACGTGACGACAAACGCCTCGTACCTTGCTGATTCCAAGGTGTCGGTAATGTCTAGTCTGCCCGACCGGGATGGCTCCGGTTTTGCTTTCTCGCGTCCCTCTGCAATGAATCACAAGGCTGCCGGCTGCATAAAAGCGATGAAGGCTTCGGACCATGGTGTCAGATGGACAAAGTCGTAGCCGGCAACTAGTGTGACCGACCTGGCGCGATAGTGTTTCGCACCGATAGCACATCGCCATCGTGCTCGGGTCATTTGTCCCTTTCTCGAGCCGCAGCTCGTCGTGCCGCTTCGTCAAGACGCAGTTGTGGACACGTGGTCGAAGAAGACTCGACGTTTGTTGTGCTGTGCTGCTTTCCCGAAAGCATGACGCGGCCACACACAGCACTACGTGGCAAAACAGACGGCAAAATCGTGTTTTCTCGTCCAGATCTGGTAGTGCTGCCAGAGACAACCGTCGTGCTTGTCAGTCCGAATTCTGCAGCTAACAATTGACAGAAACTCACAGGGTCCAGCAAGCAACTGTCCGTGCTGTAAAAATGGGGCCTTCCGAACATTCGGTGACGAGCACCCGGGGCAAATCCGTACGCACATCCTTGTCGCACGTGATGATGGCTGTGAACATGGTCATGCGTGTGCGATAAGGTTATGCACTGTAGCGCTATCGTGCTGGCTGGGCGGACGACGTCGTGCTTCCTAGGTGCTCATGCAGGCTTGAAACGACCTTCGTTCGCTGGTTGCGCCAGCACAGCAAACGTCGCTAGACGATACTCGGTTGGCCTGAAGCAGAACCGAAAGTTGCGACCGAGGTGAGAGAGGCCATGTTGCAAGGTAGACACGTCTTCTACGGCGTTAGCTCTCATCGTAGCAGAGGAGCAGACGTTACGTGGTGCTCGATGAACCAGCGGAGCTGAGCGCTCAGGAATCGGAAGCTTACTGGTGCCTGTGCCAATTGATTGCAGGCAGCAACTTCCATCGAAAGAAAAACACACAATCTGGTCACGCAAAGCACGGAGCGACACGAGCTCATCTCTCTGTTTCATCATTAAGTAGCTTGGTCGAGCAAGCACTACCACGCGTCGTCCTGGAAAACCGGCTCTCAACAGCCGCAAGGCTGGCGCATTGCATACTGCATAAAGTGGAGCAGCAACATGAACACCATGAGGGTGTTCAGGTTCCAATCTACAGGTCCACAATCAAGTTAGCGTTATGCAAGAAAGATGGAGAGCGATGCAGAGAGAGAGAACGAGAGACTCTGCGATTGCTACGCACCGCCAAACATGTCGTGCTCAGGCTCATCTGCGTTCGCGCCGTGCTGGTGAGCGGTCGTGTCGTTGTCACTTGCCAGCGAGCGGTTGCGATGCTGCGAGCTCGACGCGGAGCACGAGGTCGAGAGCGCTGCGCTGTTGTTCTTCATTTTAACAATCTGAGAATGAGAGAGAGAGCGAGTCCGGATGTGATGTGTCAGTAACCTGAGGTGATTTGCGACCGAGCCCATTTCACCCAAGCGAGATTACCGCGCACTGTTTCGATGTCTTTAGCTATCTATCTACTCATTTGTACCCTCTACTTAGTGATTGGGAAGTGATATATTCGATACGCGACAGTAATATTAGCTGAGCTTGTGCTTTTAGGAGAATAATACTATCAGAAACTGATAGAACGGATTCTTGTGTCGATGACTTTAGGAAAAGGTTAAACGTACCGGCCGCGAGTGGGTCATTGTATCGGCGATTTGTTTTGACCATTCAAAAACGATTTTCTTATCATAATTTGTGATACATAATTTATTTATGACGTGCCAGCCTAATTTTGAGTACGCACCCTACTTCGATTTTAGTATTCGTAATTGCTGTAATGGCGATTGCTGGAAGGGTGGCGAGCTACGAAGGGCAAGGTAATGGATGAGACGAACAGAAAATCGACTGGACACACTCGATCATATCCTATATATTGTGGCTCGGTTGATATGGTAGTATTCTTGTAGAGCACACAGCACATGTTTAAGGCGTACATGTGCATGCCCGTTCACATTTATGTGTGTCGTTTTGCTTTCTATTCAGAAAAAAGTATGCGAGAGTCTACCGACATCGAAGGTTCATCTAAAAATGCATGTTATTTGTCATGGCTCAACCTTGGTTGCTTTGATCTGGATGCGTTGACTAATTTGGCGTCGTTGTTGTTGTCGTGGTCATCGTGAGTGACATTTTTTCTGACGAATTTGTTGTTGGCCGCATCATTGGATAAGCATGCTGTTTTGAAACGTATTGTATGCACTTCATGAAGAGAAACCTTAGTAGTACAGCTAGAAATACATTCGCCGTGACGCTATTACAGCCATTTCTGCTTAAGAGAGAAATACCAGTAATATAGCATGCAAATGCAGGCATGAAACAAGTGTAGTGTGCCGCTAACGAGGATTAAGCGTAGAAACATCTACTTCATTTTGGTCGTGTCGACGTACGTTTAATCTTTGCGCTTCTCTAACCTTCACGTTTTTGCCCTCCACCATCACCATTACAGCAAATTTGAATTCCAATCGAATCTGCTGTAATGGCGATGGTGAAAGGCAATGAGCTACAACGCAAAGGTCAAAAGTTAGGATGGTATCGTCATAATTAAAATTGGTAAGATTATGATTAACAAATTATGTTTAATCAGCTAAAACAAACCGCTGGTTCAATGACCCACTCGCGATCGGTACATTTAGCCTTTCCCATAATTATGTCAATGTTTTATTTGTAGCTTACTATTTTTATTTCTAGTAATGTCGGTGTAACATTTTTGTTTAGTCTACGAAATGCAGCAATAATATCAACAAGAAGAGCAATGACAGTTGCACACAAAAACCTACAAGCAAAATAACAATAATATTAATTAGAAATGACGACAACAATAATGGAGCACAAGACAAACGCGACGCCACCTCTGAAACGAACGGGGCGCCCTGCGCATCCGCTGTGGGTCCATTTCCACCGCGGCGAGAAGCGCAACCGCTATCACTACCACGCGTTCTGCTCGTACTGCGTGGATCGACATGGCCTCGACCACGTCCGACCGGCTCGTGGCGTGTCCGTGGACATGCTCCGCCACTTGGAAAATTGTAGCAATCGTCCGCCTCAAGTGGTTTTAGAAACAGCGAAGAAAAGTTCAGTCGCGCGACGAGAGCGTCCGAAAAAAGCGAAAAAAACGGCGAACGGGTTAGAGAGCACGATCACTCGACTTGGAGAGCACAAGAGCCATGCGCTGCTCTTAGAGACCGTGGAAACGACGTCAAGGACTGCAGATGACGTGGTTGTACGTACAATTGGAGCAGCAGATGAGGCACCAGTGGACCAGTTAGTGACGGCAGAAGCGACACTTTGTGGGACAGACGGGTGTGTGGCAAACAGGGGCGATGCCGATGAAGAGATACCATTGAGACTAAAGAGTGGACCAGATGCTGGACATTTTTCAGCAGGTCATGGCGTGGCTATGTTCATGAAAGACCAAGGACGATCTGATGCAATGGAGAAGGATGCTGATGTGATGACGAGATGGAGGACGAGTGTGTTGCAGACGGCTGTGGCCACTGGCATGCCGCTCTCGACTTTCTCGAACCGTGAGTTTCAGGAGCTCTTGCAGGTGCTTTGTCCTGTGAAATGGGAGAGCAAAGAAGCGCTCAGCACCGTTGGTAGTCAAGCGTTTGTGGAAGAAACAGCTGCGAAATTGGCGCAGCGACAACTGGATCGAGTAAAAGAAGGCATGCTGAACTCGACGATCAAAAGTGGTCTTACCTTGAGTATCACGTGTTGGCACACCCCGGATCTACAGCATTTGGCAGCTTTTACACTTGTTAACTCGAATAGAGACGCTGCCTGTGTTCGAGTTGAAGATTTAGGCGGCTATGCTTTACAGCATTCTTCCACTGATAGTGGCAGCGACGTGTCCGCTTCGATGGTGGCACCGCTGTGTCCAACACAAGTGCTTCCGCTTGCCCACGCCATTAAAGATGTATTGCTGGATTTGAATGAAAAGGACATTTGTGTCATTGGAATTGTGGCTGACTCGGCTGCTGTGCTGAGTGCAGCAAAGAGAGTCCGTTGCCATGAACGATGGCGCTCTCTGTTGGTTCTTCCCTGTGTGTCTGCGATACTGTCATCTTTAGCAGGAAGCCTGCTAACGCATGACGTGTACATTGACGCAGTGGGGCAGCTTGTGGAGCTAGCCGCTTTTTTCTCCAACTCACGGTTGCAAACATCGCTGTGTGCTATTTCTGGCGAAGACAACGCACTTATTCCACTGCCCACAAGAAACCATTGGTCTTCATTCGTGATTTGCCTATCAAAGGTCTTGCATTTCAGTGACGCTATGACTGTGCTATGTTCAAGTGATGAGGAAGGAGTCTCAGCCTTGGTGCCGTTAGCACTTCGCGAACTTGTTTTGGGCAACAGCGGTCAACTCTGGATAACTCTACGTAGGCTGGCCGTTCTTTTTGCCCCGTTGTGGGAAGCGTTCAACCTTTTGTTCCAGTCGAAACCTAAGCTGGGCGAGATCAACCACGCTGACGACACCGACGACGGTTGCGCGACCACCGTACACGAAGGACTTACGCTTGCTGACACAATGTACCAGCTTGGCCGCATGAGTCAGCAGTACGCGGCTCTTGCACACACTGCAAACGCGGATGCGTCGTCGAGCAAGAGTGACGAGGAAACGTCAGTCGTGGCACGCCAGCTACACGAGCTTCTGGACACCATGTGGCAGCGCTACGATTTGCCAACGATGGTGCTTGCGTACGTGTTCGACTTTCACATGGATATTGGGCGCCTCGACAATAGCAACCGTGCACTTGAATGGAAGGCCGTGGCATCTTACTTTCAGCACTATTGCAAGCGCTGGTTCTGCCAATCACAGGTATGTGATGGTGAAATTGAAAATGGATCGGCAGTGCTGGCTCCGGTATCTGACGGCAAGGTCGAGGCAATTCTTGCCGCGTACCAGCTCCGACAATTCCCGTTTGATGCCGACACCACAAGTGACTACGCCGATGTGTCATCGTTTTATTCATTCGTGTCGGACTCTCACCCAGAAATTTCTGCGCTTTGCTGCCGCATGTATGCGGTCGGGTTGGCATGTGCTGATCTACGTGGCATTATTCGTGGCATTGGTTTTTTACCTTCCGTTGCACAAACTACTGAACGTCCCAAGCAGGTAGAACGGCTACTCCATGTGGGCTATGCTTCTAGTTTGAAGAAAACCAGACGCACCGGCACTTCTTTTGGCGGTAGCAATATTCTACGTGAGCTCTTGCAAGCGAGTCGTCCCGAGGAATTACTTTGCAGTTACGACGATTGGGAAGCGTTCTCAAGCGACTGGAGACAGCTCCTGGACCACGAAATTGCAATTGACGAGTCGGAGCGGCTGCAACAGAATAGCAGTATGAATGGCCACCAAAACAAGAACGACGATGCCGTCGGCGTATCGCTTGGTCAGCTTTTCTCTGGGGCGCTTCCTCCATTACCTGCGGCAGTTGTAGTGGCGCCTTCACCTCATGATCTAACGGGGTCAATAGCACAGGCATCAGTCGCTTTGTAAGTTGCTGGGTGAGATCATTTGCGACGCGGTAGCTGTCACGGCAATGATAGCCGGAACGAATGTAGACATCAACTTGGCAACTCTGCGATGTCACTTGACAGGTCACCAGCCTTTGTACCAGGCGAACTACACTGATTGGTGACATGTGTTTTAGGTGTCTGTTCTGGCTACACTCGGTAGCACACAAGCGTGCGGTTATGGGATTTATAGCCACGAAGGCATTGAAAATAGTGTAGTCACACTTGTGACGTGGAAGGCGAAGTGACGACCGGACTATGTGACACATTACGCGCTGTTGGTAACGAAGGACGACTTGGTGGAAATTTCTGTCTATCTTCTGGAATTTAGCTTGCCGAGTGTACGCGCTTCCGACGTGTTCAACTGACTTGTGGATCATCTGTGAACCGAGATAAAGTGGTGGAGTGCGTCTTCGGCCGCTTTTAATATCAGCAAGAACCCTTTTAGATGGACGTTGTTGCTGATATTGAGCTAGGTGAATGCTGAAGCGGGTGGGGTCGTTTTGATACCTGGTTTTTAATTGTCACTAGCATTATCTGAACTATCGCGTTGTCATTTCGTGCGGTGGTACAAGCTACAAAACATGAAGCTTCTGACGGATGTCTATTTGTATCGAGCTGCACGAAGTCTAAAGAAGGAGTTGGAAATGGATCTTAAGATCACAGCAACATTGATAGCTTGGTGTCTAAGCCAGATACTTGGACTGCGTATGGATATAGGACTCTTTGGACGAGCTGTTGTGCTGGATCGAAAGTGCAGTAATTTTCAAGCTCTGACACTTCGAATCTAGCAATACTGGTTTTCGCTCGTCGACACTAATCGACGCGCTGGCGTTGTCACTGCTTTGCTGGCACGGATCCGCTGTGTCATCGTCATGTCGAGGCCTGTAAGCCGTGAATATGAGGGATGCTACTTTTTGAAGACAGACGTTCTGAGCTGGCTACACTGTATGGCGCTTCGGAACGTGTGGCGACAAGTTTGCGATAGGGATCCACTGGCCCTTCAGATTGTTGGTATAGACAGCGAACGATCGCTGCCGGAGAAAGAGTTGTAACTCGCGCTAGAGTGTTGTGTTATGCAAACTTTGGTTCTTCGTCTGCCCGGTGCACGAACGAAGTTTAATTTTGAAGTCGATACTGAGAACCATGTCAACGAAGTCGCATGACCTTCTGTTACAGACGCCTTTGCCGTCGTCATAACTTTCACGAGTGGCTAGTGCTGCTTTCTCGAAATCCTCGCTCGATAAACGTTGGACGCAACGAGTCTGGAAACATGCAAAATGGCGGTCGACGGTGCTCGAACGTTGTTGCTTGGTCTCAGCAGCGCCACTTCATGGACTGAAGCTCGCAACACGTGAAGATTAATACTGTTGCCGCACCACATAGTGGCCGTACAATGTGAAACGGTTCAGCACTGAGGGCCGCATAGGAGTCACATGGATGGCCATGCGCGGGTCGCGCCGCTGCCATGTTGTGATTGGATCCGCAAAATCTGATGCCACCTGTAGCTACAGGGATTGTGGACACTGCTGTAAGGTTTCATCAGGTGCTTAGCTTGGCCCAACCACGTGAGCGTCTGGTACTTGTATTTGATTCTGCCGGGGCAGTGGAACTGTTTATTGATCGTACGTGTGCTATCAAACCTTGCAGGATTTTGAAGCAGGAATCAATTTTAACCTGGTCATGCTCGGATGCATCAACGCAAGTTACATTCTCACAAGAACTTTTCGATTCACTTGGTTTTGGTGTCGCCGAGGGTGCACTATAATGCACGTTAGTGAAGACGTCATCGGGAAGTTTACAGTCGCGTCAGAATGCACGTCTCTGCATTAATTAATTGTCAGGACACTTTCGGCTGTCTTTCTACCGAGTTCCCCATGCACAGAAGGTGCCAATTCTCGGCTCACTCAGAACAAGCCACTGATCTCAATTTATTGATCGATGACGTATTACGCCGTGTTCATACAGATTTGCAATCTGTGTGTATTCGCCATTCATACCACAAGTCACAAGTCATCGCTTGGTCACTTTGATCAGCATTGAGAAAAAGCGAATTAAAAAGACGACGCATGCTTTATTGCGTGATAGTAGAGATAGCAGCACGCAAGATTGACGAGTGGAGTAGTACTAGAAGAACGACAATCGGGAAGCGTTAGGGAATGGGCTTTGGTTGCCCAGAGCAGCCTTGAACTTTCGCGGTGGACACAACGATTTCCACGATAACAGCAGTAATCTGAGCTTAAAATTTGTGTTGAAAGTAAGCAAGAGTACTACTCGGGAGAAAATCATCCACTACTGCAGCAGAACTTTTGCAGACCACGAAAAACTCGGAGCAACTATCGGTCCAATGTGTGATGTAAAATTTGATCATCTTCGAGGCTGTATTTAGAAAGCAATGAGCGAACGGCTGACGGTTTTTAGTTGGAGGAACCCTGTCGAGGTGAGGCTTCCCAACTTTTGAGTTTTATTCATGATGTCATGAAGGCTCCGACGATTTTCAACGTCGTCAGTCGGGTAGACGTCCACTTTCACTTCATACTTTCTTGATGCTGCCTCGTCAGAGTTGTCAAGATCTGCCTTGTTACTTATGGGATGGGGTCGAGCTTGCTGCGTTGTGCGATCACTTGCCTTCACAAGGAATACAAAACTGTATGAGGCAGCAAAAGTCCACGACAACCACACGGATAATGCGTCTCCACTAGACAGAGTTCGGTACGATTTGGAGGTCTTTGATCTGGTGCGGAAAACTTTGGATGATCCTGGTCATTCGTAAACATCCATGTATACTTGAAATTGTATACTTGGTGTGAGCTATGCCATCAACGTAAAAATGAGGACGTTGACACATGAAAGGTATGTAATCAAACTACGCGCATAACATACTCACATAACAGCGCCCACCTCGTGCTAGTTATGGAGTTATGAGTGAAATATGGGTGGCCGTATGTTGATGGTCCGGACTGTACATGCGGCCTGTACACCGCACAGAAGTGCGACCTTTCGTCGTCAGTCTGCATGTTTGCAGATGTACTTGAGAACGATCTTGAAAATCGACTTGAGTGAACAGTGGCAATTTGGTGAGGCTTCATGAAGGAAGCCAATTCTGCACTCATCATCTAGCTTTTTACTAGAAGAGACGTTAGCTTGATGGACAAAGGCAACAAATTCAAACTTCTTAATTCCGTGTAAGTATAGCTTCTTCTTCATCATCATTCAGTAGGGTATGTCTTTGATCGAACGGCAGTAGGCTCTTTTGCGTAAGTATGTAGCCATTTCAAGTGCTTCCATCCAAAACGATTTCGGTAGCTTGACGGCAGCCATCATTGACTTCATCATGTGTATGAGGGTCTAGTGTGTCTTCTCACACAGTTTTAAGTGTAAATCATGGGGTGAATTCTGCAAAAACTCAACTACCAGAGATATGTACCATGCAGTTATCTCTGCGTTTACAAATTTTCCACCGCCTACGGAAAATACATTCTTGACTGGATAGTAGGCCTCGGAAAGGTAAGGTAACAGGTAACCGGGTAATGCTTTTTGTTCTTTCTAAAAAAAGACTAACACTACCTTTGCCCTATTGGTCTATAGCTACCTTTGCGTTCACCTTACTGTACCTAGTACCTGGATATTGCGCTCACCTTACTCCACCCCTTTACCTGGGTAGTTACTCGGTAACCAAACGTTTTAATAATTGATCGAATCCTTGGAGTTGCAGCTAAAATTAGTGATGCGACGACATCGCCGGTCTATCATAAAAGACTTGGTGGATGGGTTCTGTAACGGGGTGAATCGTTACATAACAATTCATAAGAAATTGTTAATAGAATATAACTATAACAGTTATATTCTCAGAATATTGTCATAAGGACAAATATTCTGTAGCACTTACGAGTAGTTCCTATTTGGTTGATATAGGCCATTATATCAACCAACGAAGACGCGCCACGACAGACGCACGCAATGAGTGGTGAGCATATATTTGATTTACACATTTGTATTTAGACATAGTTAGATGAAGATAAATAGTGATTTATTGCAGACATTAACTATACTAAATACAGTTCTACTTTTTACTTTAACCAAGTACTCGCTTCTTCTTACCGTCTTCCTCTGCACGTACGAGTGTACGTGAAGTACCGAGGCACCGCCTTATTCTGTCATCAGAATAAGTAGCTTGTACTGTCACCAGTACAAGCTTCAGGGTGCCCCGTCACACCTGGTAGCACTTCGTAGTCCGTCCAAGGACCACGTTCACATCTAACATGAATATGTTGGATGATGAAGACGACCAAAGCTTTCACGCTACGCGTGACAGCTACTCCCATTTGAGCAATGTCGAATGGGATGCGGTTGAACGGATGGGTTCAACCATGGGCATCCATGCTGTTAGCGTCATGCTAGAGGCTCTCAATAGAGATGCCCAACATGCTACTATCGCCAAGTTCATTCAAAATGAACTTGACGCAGAACGCGAGAAAGTAGCCTTGCTTCAACAACAAGGTTCTCAACAAGCAGAGTTGTTGAGAGAACAGGGTGTTCAACAGTTTGAACTGTTGAGACAGCAGCAGGCTGCTGCTGGTGGGTCGATGCACTCGCGTCGACCCGAAACCTTGAAGATTGACATCTCCAAGTATAGGGGAGTCGAAGAGGACTCCCTCTTGAGATGGTTCGTCGAATTGGATGACGCCATAAGGGCGCGTCGCATCGACGATGGGGAAATGCAAGTTGCATTTGCTCAGTCAAATCTGGCAGGACGTGCCAAGACTTGGGCACTAGGGCTCAAGTTACACGACCCATATGCGTTTGGGTCGTTGGAAGTCTTCAAGTCGCGGCTCAGACAAACGTTTGAACCGCCTAGAGCTGATTTCAGAGCTCGAACCGAACTCTTGAAGCTCAAGCAGGGTAAGCGTGATGTGCACGCTTACGCGCAACATATACGACATCTCACGAGTTGTATAAGTTCCAACCCGGTTGATGAACACA